CCCTTCTTCCCCCTCCACTCCAATACGCGGCGCAGGCCGTTTAATCGGGTTTAATCCGCTCCAGTTAGCTTGAGTGCGTCCAGCCAAAAAATGTGGGACACGCGCTAGCAGTGATTTGACTCGCTGCTTGTTTATGGATGAGGAAAAGAGAAAGTGTTGAATTGCAGTGTACGAAATGTTCGGTGCGAGTGTGGAAGGGCAGCCGGTGAATAAAAAACTCTGCCCCAGGCGAGGCTCGAACTCGCAACCCCGGCATTGCTCACGACGACTGTCTTATAAGTAGCGTGCGCTAACCGATTGCGCCACTGGGGCTGTGCATCTCGGAGCCTATTTTGTGGCTTTTCTAACCCAAATCGAAGCTTTAAGTATCGGAAAAATAGTTGCCCCAGGCGAGGCTCGAACTCGCAACCCCGGCATCGCTCACGACCACTGTCTTATAAGTACCGTGCGCTAACCGATTGCGCCACTGGGGCAGTTATGTGGAGGGCAGTTTGAATGAGTACTTGGCTTGAGATGTGGTCGAAAGTTGTTTAGAATCTCCTAGTGGTGTGCGCGCGTTGAAAGTTGTTTCGGCGCGCTGGCCGTGAGCCGCGGGCGCTGCGCCGGCGGCGTGGGCGGTGCAGGTGTCTTCCCTGCGGGTTGTCCAGCGCGGTGCTGCGCGGCGCGATAAGCCTAGGAACAGGTGTGGAACACGCACGGCGCGGCACGGCGCGGCACGGCGCGGCACGGCGCGGCTCGCCACGGCCCGGCCGCATGCTAACCCCTGCAGAGGACCGTCCGCGTGGGGGAGCCCAGCCCAGACTTTCGGCGCAAATACAGCGCACTTGTTACGTTTTTGCTTTGTCCGCGTTGTCATGAGAGCAGCGGCTGAAAGTTGGGAGGTGCCGCATTGCCGCTCTAAGTTTGAAAATGTGAATTCTAAGCGCACTTACAGCTCCCCGATCACGCGCTGCCAGTACACTGTTACCTCAAAGTGTGTACACTGAAACGCTTGGGTGTTTTACAACCGAACGCCTCAAGTCAGCTTGATTTCTGAAGTCGATCGCTCACAGTGTACCTTCCACAGCTTTCTTTGTTTTCCGTGGCGCGAGATGCGTCGCCTATGCGGGGTCGGCTTGACCTACTTGGTGAGGGTCGGCGTCGAGGTGGTCGAGCTGGGGGTGGCGGGGCGGCACGGCGGCGGCGCCACTGCATGTTGTGGCAGGCCTGGGGCTGACCTGTGGCCTGTGGGCGCCCGCCGCGCCCGCCGCCCCCACCCAGTGCCACCCCCGCACTCTCGCTTTCGGATCGGGCTCGGTGGCCCCTCCCCTCCCCTCCCCTCCCCTCCCCTCCCCTCGCTCGGCCAGCATGCGGCGCGGCCGGCGGGAGGACCGCGGTCGGGCCGTCAGGCGGGCGTCTCGAGCGTGGCGGCCGGTGCGGCCGGTGCGGCCGGTGGCGGCGTGGCCAGGGGGTATTGATCCAGCGACTCCTTTGCTCCTTACCCGCTAATCACGCGCACGGCCAGGCCCGTCCGGGCCCGTCCCCGGCGGCGGTCCCGGCGCCGCCAAGAAGGATGTCTTTGTTCCCGTCGCGGGGATCGCGACTCCGAGGCCTGACCACCACGCCCACCCCATGCCGCCGCTGCAGGCGGAGTCCGAGCTCTGCTTTCGTCACTCCGTCTCTCTCAACCTCATGGGGCGCCCCGCAAGGGTGCGAGAGAGACAGCGCGGTGAAAGCAGCCTGCTCACAGCTGCACATCCATTGTACAGCTGTGACGTCAACGTCCCTGCCGACCAAGCGACGCCGCCCAGCGGCACTGCAGCAATTCTTTGTCACCGTCTCTCTCACACCCCTACGGATCACCCCATGAGTGCGACAGAGACAGAGCGACGAAAGCACCGTTGAGTCGAGAACAGCGTCGTCGTCGGGAAGGCCCGGTGGTGCCGACGCGGGGACACTGCCTGCTTATCGGGGACGTTCCTGGCGTCCGCGGAATGCCCATTCATCGCCTCGACCCCCATTCCTGGCCCCTCCCCCTTCCCCTCCCGTTCCCGGTGCAGCATGCAAGCGCGGCAAGCGCGCTGTGACGTCCGCCGCGTCCGCCTCCACCGGCCCTTTCCCTTCGACGCAGGACGGCGGCACAGAGGGCATGCCCCGGGCGCCCCTCCCCGTCGACCGCCGTGGCGCCGTGGCGCAGCAGCGCGGCCATGCGGCCGTGACCCTGGCGCTGGGGAAGTCCCACCGCGCTGACCACCAGAGCGCGGCCAAGCGCGGCCAAGCGCGGCGCAGAGGCGCCCCCGGACAGTGCGCGTCGCTCGCACCGTGCCGCCGCCCGTGCCGCCTAACGCGCGGCGCGACGCGGTGTCGGAAACGGTTGGTTTGTTGTCCGTGCGTGTGTTTTTGTTTTTCGGGCGCGGCGCTCTCCTGCTCCCCGGCCTTGTTCTCGTGGAGTTGGACGCCGCCGAAGGCTCCTCTGACGCCTTTTAGTGCCGTGTCACCTGCCTTCCTTGCGCGGCCCCGTAACCACAGCCCCACCCCTCCCTTTTCCCCTGCCCGCCCCGCCCACCGCGGTCGGGTTTATTTTTCATTTCGGCCGAAATCACACCATCACACCACGGCCGGACGGGAACCTTGAAAGCGAGAGGGCGTGGCGGTGGCGTGGCGGTCGGTGCAGCGGGCTGCCTCCGAACAGTCCCTCTCTTTCTCTCCCTCGCACCCCGACGGGACGCCCCATGAGTGCGAGAGAGAGAGGCAGTGCGCCGTAGACACGATTCGGAATCAGCCTGCGGCGCTGCTCGTGGCGGTGGCCGTCAAGCGCTAGCTGTGCAGGAGACCGACGCGACGATACGCGACGCCGCCGGGTTCAACTACCGGCCGGTCGCGGTGTTCCCCCTCCCCTCCCCTCCCCTCCCCTCCCGGAGCAGCGAGTTTGCATTCAGGCGACGGGAGGGGCACTGCGTTTTGAACCCCCGGCGCGGCGTGGCGGGTATGGTTACAGCCCGTAAAGCCGTGTACGTACACTGTACAGGAAATGGGAGGCGCTCCGCTCCGCCGCGCTCCGCCAGGCTGGGCGCTTCCTCGCGACGCCCCTCGAGGCCCCCGCCTGCAGGCTGAGCACTGCTTTCGTCGCTCTACAAACCATGAAGACCCGTGGTGGCAGTGCTGATGCTAGTGGCTAGTTGTTGTTTTCGTCGCGGTGCGCGACGGCTTGACCCAGAACCGCCGCCGTCTGGATGTGGCCTCCGCTCCGGATTGAGTCCCTGACGGATGGCGTGCTTTGGCTTTGCCTCTCACTCCTTTCCCTTATTCGTCCCGATTCCGCCGTCTAGACCGGAAACGGGTGCCGGCCGAGGCGAGCCAATGCGAGGCCGGGGATCAATCAGGCCGCCAATACGGGCCGCCTGACAAAGACAAAGGGAAAGGGTTGCGGCCCGCAGACTGATTCCGAGAGTCGTTTTCTTCGCTCTGTCTCTCTCGCTCTCACGGGGCGTCTCATATAGGCGCGAGAGAGACTGAGCGAAGAAAACAATTCTCGGGATCAGTCTGCAGTCACTAGAAGGGGACATAAATTGCCCCCTTTGACAGCGGCAAAGCCGCCCGAGGCAGGCAAAAATGTCACACGTTGCCACTGTAAGGAGTCAACTTCTTGTGCTGCAACTCCTTCGTAACCGTAACGTAACGCGGATAAGAAACCGACAGGGATGACCGGGGTGGTCTTTTTTGCGTGTAGGGAAGGGGGTTAAAAGGCTCGCCTTGAAGGCAGCGTCTCCTCCGACTTTCTTTCTCCTTTTTTCCTCGTTCAAACTGAGTTACGGCGTCGGTCGGCCAGTTTGAAAGGCAAACAATTAGCGAGGCTGTTGAGCCCCCGCTGCATTGCTTGCCAAATAAGCAGCAGGTCGATTCCGAGAGTCGTTTTCGTCGCTCTGTCTCTCTCGCACCTGTTCGGCTCGCCCCATGAGTGCGAGAGGGACGGAGCGACGAAAAGGACTCTCGGGATGGGCCTGCTGCAGCGCCTACACCGCACGCGAGCGTGCCGGCGGCGCTGTCCACCGCCCGGGCCGGCCACCGCGTCTACTCGGGACGCCAGAAGACTGGTGCCGAAGGACGCTTTCGTCGCTCTGTCTCTCTCGCACCTTTACGGTGGGCCCCATGAGCGCGAGAGAGACGGAGCGACGAAAACGACTCTCGGGATCAGTCTGCAGAGCGGCGGCCAAATTGCACGTTTGGCCAACCGGTCCGTCGGCGAGGCGCGCGGGGCGGATTGGCCGGACGCGCCCCGACAGGCGGTGGTCAGGCGCCCTTTGCCGCCTTGCCTTTGCGGCGCGCCGCCATGCGCCGCCACGCCGATCGCGTTTTCTTTACTGCCTCGCCGATTCCACAACAACGAGGCCGCCAAGTGGCAGCGCCTCGACGTGCTGCCCACCGCTAGCGCCGCCAGCGCCGTCAGCACCGCCAGCAACACGCCGATGAAGCAATGCAAACAATCATCATCCACGGAACGACCCCACTCGGCTCCTTGATCTCAATCGGCGTTGCCACAAAACCAGGCGAAAATTCGCACGGTGCGCTGGTGTCGAAAGGGTTGCCAACCTAAGCCTGCCTTATTAAGGCAATATCAATCGAGAAGCTGAGTCGCCTAGCAGGAAGGCTGAGGTGAAGTTGGCAACCCATTCGACACTGGCCATTCTTTTGAATGGCAACACAGACGATAATTTTTGTCTCTTTCTCTCTGCCCGCAGAGCGCGCTGGTGAGCCTCCACAACGGCAAGAGCGACAGCGAGGAGGAGGACGACGACGAGGAGGAGGCCGGTGGCGTGGGCCCGCCCCCGGCCGGGATGTGGGGGGCCTCGCGACCACCGTCGCCCAGCATGGCCAGCATGGGCAGCATGACGCCGGCCGCCCCCGCCGCCGCGCCGATGCCGCCCCCGGCCGTCGCCTCCGGCAGCATCGTGGGGCCGCCGAGGGGGGGCGGCGCCGGGGCCGGCGGGGGCGGCGACAACGGCAGCGAGGCGTCGTCCAGCGTGCCGCCGCCGCCGCCCCGGCCGAAGAGCAGGTCCGAGCCCGCGGCCGCCGCCAAGTACAACAACCTCAGCTACTGGAGGGCGAGGCGGTGAGTACGTGCCGCCATGCTGCTTGTCGCGGTTTACAGCCGAAGCCATAAAGAGAGTCAGTTTAGATACGCGTCGCGTTGTTTCCATCCACCCGGGCAGCCCGGGCAGCCCAGCCGGCGCCGGCGGCAGCTGGGCTCCGCACCGCAGAAGCCCCTGTCATCCAGAGCGTAGGCAACCCGTCGCACTGCTGTGCGTTGCGCTGGCTTGTTGCCTACCTTCCATTACCATTACGGGCTAGACTCATTCCGAGAGTCTCTGCCTCCCTCGTACTGATGGGTCGTCCCGTTTAGGTGCGAGAGAGACAGAGCGACGAAAAAGACTACTCTCGGAATCAGTCTCCAGCTTTGTGGCATGCGCAGCGAATTTGCTTTCCGTTTCCCGGAGTGAAAGCGAGCAAGCGAGCAACGCAAACGGCACCGTCGGGGAAATGACCCGGCTGGCCGTGGGAGGGGGAGGGAGAGAGGGAGGGGGAGGGGGAGGGGGAGGGGGAGGGGGAGGGGGGGGAGACACCCGCACCACCAACGCACGCGTTCCTGCCGGACTGGCGGCCCTGTTTGCGAAAGGCTCCGCATAACATTTGCCTTTGTTTGCAGTCCAATTTAATCCCCATCGGGGTCGCGCCTCGCCACGCCGCGGACTGGGGCAGTGTTCCCACTTCAGTACGCAAAAGTTCCCACGATGCACCACAGTCTAAAGGGTTGCCAACCTCACCCTTGCCTGCCTACTAGGCGACTGCACCACAACAATGCCCAGATGTTGCCTGGTGGGCAGGCTGAGGTTGGTAACCCTTTTCACACTGCAATGTATCGTGGGAAGTTTTGCCTGCTAATGTGGCAACACTGGACTGGTGACTGCGGCGGGCTTAGCCAAGGCTTGGGCCAGTTTAGCGACGGCCCCGCCGCGCCGCGCCGCGCCTTCCCCGACTTCTTCTCACGCGAGTCGGGCCGCAATTCATTCATGCGACTTATCTGACCGCGCAGCAGTGGCGGCGCCCGGCAGACTGATTCCGAGCGTCGTTTTCGTCGCTCTGTCTCTCTCGCGCCCACACGGGACGCCCCATGAGTGCGAGAGAGACAGAGCGACGAAAATGACGCTCGGAATCAGCCTCCTGGGCAATACGACTGCGTCCGAAGTGGAAAGCCGCTGGGCGGGGCCATTTCGGGTAGCGATTTGCGCGGGAAACGGATCGTCGCTTTCGAACGCGTCGCGTGTCAATCGGGGAAAACAGAGGAGGGGGTGGCGGTGGCGGCGGGAAACCGGTTGAATCATTTTGGAAACGGCCCACGCCACCCCCACCCCTCGGCCGCGCATGGGTTGTTATTATGACGCGCTGGGCCCTGAGTCTTAATGACGGTTATAGTGTAGCCACGACGCCACCCCCAACCCCGTCGTCGCGACCGCATTCCCGACACACTGCTGCAACAATCCCTCACGACTTCTTCCGCCTCGCCCTGCTCGCCGTCATGCTCGCCGTATTGCTCGATGTCATGCCGCTTGCAGGTAGTTTGGTCTTGATTTCGAATATGAATGCAACTTTTGCAGGGTGACGTTCTACAAGAACGGCGAGCCCTTCTTCCCGGGCGTCGAGTTCCGCTTCAAGCCGGGCCGCGACGTCGGCACCATGGAGGCGCTGCTCGACAAGCTGTCCGTGCGCATGGACCTGCCGCGCGGCGCCAGGTGAGCTCGGAGCCGTAGTTTCCGTGGAGTAAGCCGCGTGCGCATCAAGCTGCGATGCAAGGGGTACCCAACTCAAGATAATCATTGCACGTCTAGTATGGTAATCAGAGAAATAATCAACATCATCCAATGAAATAACAATCATACTTTTCGGGGATTCAATCACTTTTGACCATTTTTGCGAGACCACTGCTCCCAACCTATCAGCGGTCAAAGCCTTCCCGAGGCGGGGCATGAAAGAGTAGGGTCTTCAGAATAGTAAGGCGTCGAGGGAGGTCTTTGACCGCAACTAAATTGGACGCAGTGACCGCTCAAAGTCAGCAAAAACGGTAATTTTCTGAAATTCATTCACTTTTTGACCATTTTTGCGAGACCACTGCTCCCAAATTATCAGCGGTCAAAGCCTTCCCGAGGCAGGGAATGAAAGATTAGGGTCTGCAGAATAGTAAGGCGTCGAGGAAGGCCTATGACCGCAACTAAATTTGACGCAGTGGCTGCCCAAAGTCACCAATATTGAATTTCCGACACTTTAACAGCTTTCCGAGGTCGACGCTCAAATAATCCCTAATATTTCCCAATAATCAACATAATAACCTCCTATAATCAGTGATAATTAATAAAATAATCAAAGGAAATCACATGTAATCATACTCTAAATATAATCAGTGTACATGAAAATCTATAGTTGGTTACCCCTTGCTGCTATGTAGATAAATTTTATTCTTAAAAAAAAAATTGTTTCCTTTTTTTAGGTATATCTTTGGCATGGACGGTGACCGGAAACTAGGCCTCGACGAGCTGGAAGACGGTGCTTCTTACGTCGTGTCCTCGTACAAAACGTTTAAGGTATGTGAACGTGCATGTGTGTGTGTGAGTGTGTTTCGTGACCTCATGCGGCGCCCCGGCTTCGCCGGAATCGTTGGAACGCTGTCGTGTGCAGAGCCCAGAAATTTCTCGCCGCAGATAAACATATTTTTATGGCCTCGCGACGTGTTTCAAGGTCGGAAAATAATGTCGCATGCAAATGGCCTTGTTGTCCGGGCTGAGCGGGCGGTGTATTGAGGCGAGGCTGGTTGTCGGGATGACGGACTCGGCGAAGGCGGAGCGCTCATCTCGACGTGAAGGGTGGATGTCGCATTGGCCGCGGGACGCACTGCCAGCATGGCCACGCCGGGGAGCTCAACGCAAGTCGCGTTGTGTCGCACTGGGGGGTGGCGGTGGGGGGTGGGGGTGCTCAGCGAGCGCGGGGTAGCGGCAAGGGTTTTCCCCCGGCGATGGGGTAGGTCTGGCTATACTCCGGGCTTGCTGGGAGCCCCGGTGTCGGGCCGCGTGGGGTATCGACCAAGTTACGGGAGGGAGGGGCGCGGATATCGGCGGGGGACAAGGTTGCCGCTGGTCAAGGGGGTATTTACAGGTTGAATCATGAGCGGCTCTGGGGCGTGGGGTATGCCTGCTGGTTATGGTCATTGCCAAGGGGAACGCAAAGAGTAGTGCCAATAAGCGGACGACCGTGCGGTCTGGTTTTCTTGCTGCACCTGGTGTCGACTATGAGAAAGAGATTAGAGATTATCCTCTTTCTCCTCTGTTTTCCTCCTTCTTCTATCTTATTTCTTTCTTTCTTCTTTCTTTTCCATCCTTCCCTCTTCTTTCTCCTTTCTGTTTGATATAAATTTACACCTCTGGCAGCATACCAGGCCAAGCTCCTCCACGCAGGCGCTGTGGTGCGACTCCTCGTCCTCCAGGACCGCGTCCAGGACGTCCCCGGCATGCAGCGTGCAGCTATTGCTGATTGCTGACCGCGGCGCCGTCGCTCCGTTTCTGTCGCACTCATGGGGCGTCGCACAGGGATGAGACAGAGCGACACGTTAAACTCTGTGCGGATACGGAATCGCTCTGCAGGCGGGCGGGCGGTAGCGGGCGGGGGCGCCACGCTCACGTCGATGCTTGGGGGTTTGGATGCGCCGAAGGTGAAGGTCCAAGTGCAAGGCCGCCTCGGTGGTGGAGGCCGCCGCCCCCGCACAGCGCCCGGCAGGAAACCGGACCCAATTTCAGCTCGTTTCCGGCGCGCCGTTTCCTACCCTCCGGAATGCACCCGATAAAGAGATTGCAAGCTGCACGCCAGCGGGCCGCGCCGTGGCGCCGTGGCCGCGCACCGGAAGAACTTTCTACCCATTTTCCGACCGATGGCCGGGCCGGGCGGGCCGGACGGGCGGACGGGCGCGGCCCACCACCGCGCCGACACGTGTGGGGCTCGGTGTTTGAGCTCTCCCTCCAGGCGGCCGCTCGATAAGGCCTCGTGTGTGTGAGTGGCGAGGAAGTGCACGCCGTGCACGCCGTGTCGGTGTGAGGGTCAGCGTGCGTGGAGCATCGCGCATCGCGCATCGCGCCTCGGTGCAAGCAGCCTGCAGTCTGCGAGAGGCGGCGCGGCCCGGCGGCGCGGCCCGATGGGATGGTGCTGCCCCTGCTGGAGTGCCTCTCCATCCCGGCGCCCTTCGGGGACCCCGAGGTGAGTCGGCTATGGGAGGCCCCATGAGAGCGAGAGAGACAGACGAAAGCTCTGTTCGAAATCAGCTTGATCAGCCGCGTTGTGCCGTAGGCAGCAGCAGGTGTCTGATTCCGAGAGTCGTCTCGTACTCACAGGCCGTTGCCTGTAGGTGCGAGAGAGACAGAGCGACGAAGACGACCCTCCGAATCAGTCTGCTGGATAGCACGACGTCGGTGAGCTGAACGCGCGCGCGTCCTGGTGTCACGTCCCCCGCGTTCGGTCCGTTCGGTCGCGCGTTGCGCTGCGGACCCCCACGGGAAAGCGGCGAGGAAACGGCGCGGAGAACCCTGTGGCCGAGGAAGGGGGGAGGGGGGAGTGGACGGCCGAAGGGGGGACCGAGGGGGGACCGAGGGGGGACCGAGGGGGGACCGAGGGGGGACCGCACGCTAGCAGGGCATTATTATGCAAATCGGGTGGCCCAGGCCTGGCCCAGGCCATGCCGCCGAGCCGCCACGCCGCGGACGGCCGCCCCCCACCACGCCTACCGTACGCGCCCCTCGCCAGCAAGTGATACTCAACCATTTGTGTGCCGTGCAACTCGTGCAGCGGGCCGGACACGGGCGACGCGAGTCGACATCATGGAGGAGGTGGTGGCGGGGGAGGGGGAGGCGTGGCATCCGAGCCCCCGGGAGATGGCGTGGATGTAACAGGTAGTGCGACTGGCGGCCTGGCTTCCCGGCGCCGCGCTGGAGCCTCGGCCGCCGCCACCGCCTCCCTCGGCCTCGCCCCTGCGGTACTCTATTTATTGAACGAAGGTCGCGCGGTGCCAACGTCACGGCGAGCCTAATCAGGCAACGTGTCACAACCCGCCCCGCCCCGCCCCGCCTACCTTGACCCGGATACGCACGCGCGGTCCTTGCTCCGACGCGCGCTGCGCTCCGCCATGCTCCGCCGCGACCTTTTCCTGGAATATAAACGTCCCGATTACGGCCGAGTAACGATTCGGTTGCACTTGGCCGCCACGACGACGGGGACTCCGTGACGACAATGACGGCGGCGGAGGGCCCATGACGACGGGGAGGGGAACCAAACGACGGGGATCTCGCGTCACCGACGACGACAAAGAGCCCACTTCGACGACGGCGGTCCGCGATGACGACGACGACGGTCCGTGACGATGACGACGGCGGCGGCGGCGGCGGCGTCCAGGGCAGCCGGGGCGGCCGCCTCCCTTCATCTCCATCATCAAGGAAGGGGGCGGTTCGCAGGGCTGGCAGGGCTCGCATGTGTGGTGCAGGTTACGTTACCGAGCACGGCCGCCGCCGTGTTTTTATGCCGCGGGAATACGTACTCGCGATTTGACGCTAAGAGGCCAAATTGCAGCGCCCCTTTGGCGCGGCACGCCCCGCCGGCACGCAGGCCTCGTGTTGCAGTGCTGCGGCCGGCCGGGGCTGCCGGGGCGCTCCTCGTGTGAGCAGGGCCGTATCACTTTGCCGCGGCCATCCGTAATGCGCCCCGCTGCGGAAGGCGAGCCCCTTTTTGTTTCACTCCCACCGCAAAAATAAAAATTTCCCGTTTTTCAAACATTTTCAATTGAGAATAAATTTTGGGAGTTGAACGTGCGTTATAGGATAGGGCGAGGACAGTGCTGAGGACTCACGGGCATCATGACCGTCTCAGCCACAGAAGCTCACTCATATTCACTCCAAGAATCAAGGACTGTTAAAAGTCTTCTCAGCTAGAGTCGTTGACCTCCAACAACCTCAAGGACCGCGGTTCGAATCCGCGCACTTCATTTTTTTTTTCACGTTTTTCTCACCGGGCTGTTTGAAAGATTGGTCGTGACGGGCTCGGCGATAAAGTGGCCGTTGCAGCGGGACAGTGAACCCAGCCCAACCCGTGCACCGCCGCGCTCCCTAATTGCCTTGTCCCGTCCGCACGATCCGAGAGTCGTTCAGCGCGACGCACTATAAGAACGCCCAGACGTCTCGAGAGATCGAGCCTGCAGGCCTGGAATCAGCCTGCAGGCCTGCTGCCCGCGGGCGGATCCAGTGACGGGTTCAGGGGAAGACGTCGCTAAAGGTGCCTGGCTCTAGGGGCAAAAAGCGACCCCATTCCTGGATCCGCCCCTGCTAGGTGCGAGTCCGGCCCTGCACCGCCACACCAACCACCCCGTTATGGCAAAGTAAAACACCACCTCACGCCGCGGCGCGCCGCCTTGCCGCGGCTCGTCCGTCCAGAGCCTCCATTTTTTTCACCAGCCCGGCCTGCAGCGCTGCAGCGCCGACCTTGGTGGGCTGCAGGGCCAGAAGGGGCCAGGTAGGACTGGGAGAGAACCCTGCGAGTCCTTCACTCAGATTCAGTCAAAAGAAATGAAAGTGATCCTTTTCGTGGACTTGACTTTTTTAACAAGTGCGGGTGTCTTGGAGCCCTGCTGCGCGCCGCAGGACTGGTCTTTTGGTACGACTTCATTATCACTTGATTAGAAGGCTGCGATAAGGGGAAAATATATTGCCCCGGGCGTTGTGGCCAACTCACCGAAATGTATCCTTTTTTTGTTTGCTTTTAGTTTTAAAATCCTTGAATCTGCTGTTGGAAAATAATTCAGTGTGTGTAAAACGGGCGTAAAAACGAAGTGACAGGCTGGTATTCGAACCCAGGGCCCCGGCGCCTCGGCCATTTGCCCGGCAATCGCATGCCGCTCCACCACGGCCACCACGACGGCTGCCTCCCGGCGAGATGATATCGGCCGCGATCTAAGTAGCCGCGAAGGCTGAATGCAGATGATGTGCCGCGCTGCCGCCCTGCCCTGCCCTGCCGCCGCCGCGCATACCAATGCACGCCAGACAACGCAGTGCGGCCCGGGCCGTGCCGGAGTCCGGAGCCCCGGAGTGGAGTGGAGTGGAGGTCAGCGGTCCCATTAACCACTGGCTGCAGGCCGAGTCCGAAGCGGCGCTTCGTCGCTCTGTCTCTCTCGCACTCGATGGGGATGGGGCGTGGGGGCGCGAGAGTCCCGGAGCGGCGAGCGACGGTCTTCAGAAGCAGCCTGGAGGCCCTCCCCGAGTACAGGGTGGAGGCGACGTCGCGATGCTACAGTCCGAAATGTTACCTCGTCTGTCACACTCATGTGACAGTCTCGCGCGTGAGAGAGAGACAGAGCGGCGAAGCACCGCTTCGGCATCGCAGCCCGCCGCCTGTCGTGTCCGAGACTGCGCCGGGCCGTCTGCGATGCTAATCGCGCTCGCCGCCGCTCCCGGCCCGCCCATGCGAGGCGTGAGGCCGGATGGTCCGCTAATTTGAGTGACTCCGGCGCCGCGTTTTTCCAGTGCAGGGCGACGGCGAGGCAGGCGGGGCGCAGTAG